AAAAATTAATGACAACCCAGCCTTATCTGTTATGATCAAATCGGACCCTCTGCACCCTGACCAGTTACTGAGGAGAAAAAAGGGCCTCTGTGAGGGAGGCGGGGAGACTTGGCAGCCTGGTCGCTGGGAGTGAGGGCTTGGCAGAGGGATGCCATTGTCCAGACCTCTGAGCCTCCCTAATCAGCTTGCTGCTCCCTGGGGACACACGGAGAGATACGTGGTCTCTTGATGTCTCCAGGAGCGTGACTGCCAACACCTCAGAATGAGCACCTCTGACCTATCTTTAAGGAACCCAGAAGACAGAGCTGTGCCACTCCTGCAAATGACAAAAGGAATCGTCCTTACTGCTGCCAGAGCTGACCTAGCCGGAGCTCGCCACGGGCCTGCAGTTTAGTGCTCCAACCTTTGCCAGGGCCTGTCTCCAGACACGTCTTACAGATGAGGAAACCGAGGCACAGCCACTGGGAAGAATCTGAGATCAGCACATGGCAGCTCTGAGTCAAGCCCGGTCTACAGCCCTCCCCTCGTCACTCATGCCAAACACCCACTGTCCCCAGTCATGACAGCAACTTCTCAACCCGTTCCAGATGAGCTGGTGGGGAACACACAGCAGCGCACACAGGACTCCTGCTCGCTCCCTCCCAGCAGCCGCTCCCACAGATGGCTAGCAGGGCAGAGTCCTGAGGCCAAACTGCCTTCTTTCTGGACCAGGTAGATGGATAAGGAGGGGCTGTTGGTCACCTGGGTCCTCATCCCCCCAGGCCATAACCTCTGGAGTCCCTTAACTGGCCCCGGTCCCACCCTCCAGCAGTCTTACCCTAGAAGTTGACCCCAAAGGGGGGGTGGTGAACAGGACCATGGACAGCACCAACTCGTAGCCACAACAGGGGGCCTTAGAGCTGATGGTGGCAGGCCACCCCAGAGTGCCTCCCCAGGAGAGGCAGCAGGGCAGGTGAGTGACAGTGCAGAGGACCACACTGGAGCTTCTGAACTTGGAGACTGCCACCATTAACATGGTTCAGAGCGCTCTGTTGCACGCTGACGACATGGTGACCAGGCCTTGGCCCCATATCAACCCCACTGACACTCCCCTCTGTACCCTATCCCCGTGTGACACCATGGCTCAGCCACTTCACTTTTCGAGGCTCATTTTTCACAGCTGAGAAAAGAAAAGCACTGTGGAGTCTGGAGGACTTCAGGAGAAGGCTCCTGGCCTCACTCCTCTGGAAGCGGGCAGGGCCAGTGACCTCTTCTCCTGTCTCTTGCCTGATGGCAGAGGCCCAGGGGACACAGCTGCTTTTTACCAGATCCAGAGAGTCAGCTTCTGTGGCTAGAGCAGCCCTGGTCCATGGTTCCAAAAGCTGCCCACAGAATAAACAGCCCCCTGTGCAAAGCCAGGGCCAGCAGCCCTGCGGCCTCTGCCAGCGAGCTCTGGCACGGGCCCAGTAGGGGGAAGCCTTGTCCGTCCCCACCTGGGCCTTCCCCCTGAGACAGCCAGGCCTCAGCTTTGCTGTCCTGGATGCCTTGCTCTCTGCTGGGATTTCCCCCTCCTCCCAGGGATTCCTTTTGAATGACAGCAGCCCCTGAGCTGAGCACTCTCGAGACCTCGGCCATCTACCCATGTGTGCACAGACTCGGGCTGTGTTCTTGCCCAAGGTCACTCTCCTCTYTGGCAGAGTTGGGAACTATGATTGACTCCAAACCTCTGTACTTTCCAGGTCTGCCTTTGGGGCCACGGAGCTGGCATGAATCGGTGAGGCGGCCAAAGGAAGGGACCGGCTGGAGCAGAGGCCAAACCAGGGCACGCTCGTCCCACTGAAAGTCATTCACACTTATTTCCCAACCGTCCACACGAGATGGTCTGCTCATTCCAGCCACCTTAAACAGCACCTGCACTCCCTCCCCACACTGGGCTATGATGAGTACCCCCAAGGCGCTCCACAGAAGCAATGGGAGTCAGTTCCTGAACAATGTCACTGCTGTTAGCAGAGATTTGCAAGGCCAAAGGTCTCAGCTTGGACAAACCCTGGATGTGCACAGGTTGGGCATTCCATCCCTGAGCTGAACTTCACCTGTTCACTGAGAAAACGGCAGTTCACATTTTTGAAAAAAATATACAACAAATTCAAGTGTGGTGGCAGTGCAGCTGTGGAAGTTGGACCGCATTTCCTGCTGAAATCCCACTGGGAACTTTGCCTCCCACCCCAACTTCCCCTCCACCTTCAAGGAGCAGGGTGACTTCCCAAGGAAGAATGACTCTGCACAAACTCAACACTAAATGACAGCTCCTCAAATCATGGACGCCATCGCCCATTTGCAGTCCAGTCCTGAAGGATGACTCTCTGGAGGACAGGACCCCTTCACAAATGGTACCTGACCTTCCCCTTGGGAGGTGCTTACAGATGCACGTTTGCAGGGTCTGCCTTTTCCCCAACCACAGGCCAACACGATCAAAGTGAGCGTCTCAACAGAAGAGGGTGCTGGGGGCCGCCACTCATCTCTATTTGGGGAAGTAGACTCTGGTACGCTCCTGAGTCACACCGATACAGTCCCCAGTAGAAATGAAGTGGCCTACTTCCCAACATCCTACCTCCCAATTCAGCTCTCAGCTGCTGCTGGCATGGACAAGGCAGGCAACAGGAGGCCCAGAGGTTGGGGGTGGGTAGAATTCAACCTGCTGCTTCCACTCTGATTTGTGCGGATGGCAGATTGTTTAAAAGTCACAGTGCCCCTTGCAGAACACAGTGGAACACAGAGAAAATGGAAAACCATGTGCAAAAGCAGATCCTGCCTGAAAGTTCTAGGGAATGTCTTCATGAGGATAAAYGAAAGCAAGTCCCACCAGCTTTGGTGTCGCCGAGGACCTTGTGCCCTGGAGTTGAATGTTGGGCTGGCTCCCAGGACTGACAACACAGGGGCATACRGCAAAAGCACCATGGGAGGATCAATGCTCAGTGGGCACAGGTCCCCACTGACCGCAGCTAGGGGCCGTGGCGCTGAGGGACAGAGCTCACCGATTATTCATGAAAAGCTTGATATCCGTTCCCCCACCCCGCAAAATCTGATGTCTTCTMAGGTTTTGATGTGGGCAACTACTTCAAATAAGAAAATCTCACTGCCCCTAAAAACAAGTGGGAGGGCTAGGCTCAAGACACACATCCCACCTGGATGCCTAGTGAGGTGACTGGCCAGGGGATCACTTGCTCGTCAGTACTGGGGAAGACGACACTTGGCAGTTTAACTGCCATCTTAATGGCAACTCTGGAAGCTCTCTTCCTAAGAGGGTCTCAGGAGGATCAGAGGAAATAAGGCAGTTGACAAATTAGGCAGTGCCCCAAGGATGGGGTGACATCTTAGGCAACAGGCCCACCCTCTTGGATCCTGAATTGGTATGTGAGAAAAATCTGTCAATTTGGAAGAATACTTAYGCTTTGAGAGGTTTAGTTCCCTAGCCAAGAGATTTTTTTTTTTCCTTAAGGGCAAGGAATCTGGACCTCCTCCTTGCTAGACTTCAGTGAGTTGCTACTCTTGCTGTTTGGGCCAGCAAGGCCAGGCATGGCTGTGCGCACCTCCCCTTGCCCCCAGAGGAGACAACTTGAAGGCTGAGCTCTGCCTGGAGTTGGGAGGAAAGCCTGAGGAGTRAAGATGCTCCATTTCAAGATTTCAAGTGGGGTTTGGACCAGTGTCAACACTATGTCATTTGTGTTGTTTTTTTTAAAGCTCATGAAATTGAACCTTGTGTCCTCCATGCTGATTAGACACCCAAGGTTTCTTGCTCAGCACTGCTGGGCCCAACCCATGCCCAAGCACCTGTGAAGAGGCAGTTTTTCCAACTCTGAGGTGCTGCTGGGTAGCCCTGGACGGGAGATGCCTGGACTGCTGAGCCTGCAGGGCCTCTGCTAAGACTCATCTTGGAGCCATGCCGCCTTTCATCAGGGAGGTGAGCCAAACGTTCACCACTCAGCAAGAGGTCAGCTCCCCACACACCAGGGCTCCCACGGGAGTGGACGAGAACTTCTCATGAACCAGTGTGGTCCCAGACCAAGGCATCACAAGCAAACGCCACACTCCAAAGAGCTCCCTCTGCCCGGGCACAGTGCCTTTTATCACAGCAGCACAACACAACGGTCTCCTCCCAAAAGCCCTGAAGTAGACCCAAACTGCCATCTTGGCTGCAGTGAGAGCAGGGAGCAGGGCAGCCCTGCCAGCATCTGCTGCAAGTTCAACCTGCAAGTCCCGGGCACATCCCCCAGGAAGCAGCCCGCGTCTGAGGTTCAGCATCGCTGCTGAACGAAACAGCCCACACCCTCCACATGCCATCAAAGGAATTGGGGAAGAGGAACCTGTTTCCAGCCCAGCAAGTCACAGTCCAATCCCACCCGTGGACACCCCCAGGTCTTTTCTATGGTTCCCACAATGACAACATCTTAGTCATAACTTCACTGCTTCTACAGCATCCCAGTTTTTACAAAACCAAGATGGTGTCATTTGGTTCTCCCAAGTCCAAGGATGTAAATGTCTCAGGCTAGGAGGAGACTGAGAACAGGGGGCTGCCACAGGAAAGTGGGCAGAGGAGACCCAGTTCAGAGCAGCACCCGCCCTGTTAACAGGCCACTGTGGACTGATCGTCTGAGGGTGGGACATGCAGACCCCTCTCAGAGGGAAGGGCAGGAGTCTGACCCCCGTCACAAGCCTGTTCATATTTGAGTGTTACTGACTGGGGTAACACGCCAGCGGGAGCTCGAGTTTGCTCAAGCTGCTCTAGTTTTGCAACATCTGGAAGCTGAACAGGACACGAATCTTTACTTTGATGGAGTTATTAAAAAATACAAAAACACAGACCTGAATTTACTTGAGGACTTCGCATAACCCTCCCTTCAGGGTCTCAGAAGCACCAAGGACAGCTCCCTGGGCACAGCTGGGCCACCAGAGCCAGACAGACCCCTTATTCCCCAACTCTCAAAAGGACAAAGCAGCAGTGCCCACTCCCAGGTACTCACACAAAGAAGGGCATCAGCTGGGTGAGGGTCTCCTTCTTGGGGCTGGCAGCAAACTCGGGCACCATCTGGATGACTTTGTTCATGACGCTGCGCAGGTAACTCTGGAGCTGCTTTCTCCGTTCCTCTACGAACTTGGCATCCTGAGGACAGACAGAAGGTGTGCTGGGTGGGCTCCCCTCGCTGTCCAGGAGGGACCCCATGGAGCCCACCGCATCGGTTCACCCAGCCGGCTCCAGGGCGTCTCTCGCCACTGCTTTACGAACAGAAAGTGTGACTGTTCACAGGTGGGGGACAGCTGGCCAGAACCTCCGGCAGTGTGCCCGGATGATGCCCAGCCAGCAGGGGTGGCTGCTCCCTCCTGGGCACAGCAATGTGCCAAGCGTGGTCTCGGGACAGAACCAAGAACATGACTTGGCTATCGTGTGCCGAGGCGTTCACACCCAGTGGTGAAGACACAAATCGAGGACCACAAGGTAAACACGTAATTACTAATCACGCTCAGTSCTATGAGAGGAGATTAATTCTGCTTTCAGTTTTTAAAAATATTGTCATTAAAAATCTTCATCTTTAATGACAATATCATTGCTTCAGGAGGATTTTTTTATTAACAATTTCCACCTTGATAAAACTAGGACATCTGGTGGCACCCTGCTGGTGTTGTGCACATGTGCCCTGTCCCCTACAGGACTCAACCTAATAGGGGTGGCACTGAACAGCCCCTGAATATGGGGGTAGGGGCACTCAGAGGCTTGAGCTCCACACCCATCACTCGGCCCCCTCCCCCAGCACCGCCTGGCCTTCTTAGACACGTGCCCAAGCCAGCAGAGGGCAGTGCTTGGAGCCCTGTGATACCATGCCGTCCCGTTTGAAGTCCTCGACAGTTTGGAGTGAGGGGCCTACAGATTCTATAGCCAGCCCCACCGCGCCCCACTGCACTGGTGGGCCCTGGCTCAACAAAGACACCCTGGGCTGTATGGGTGCCAGCCAAGGCTTCCTCTGAAGCTCCTTCTGGGCTAAAGACCAAATGGGGTGTGTCAGCGTCGAGCAGGGAGAGGGCAGTGGCAGGGTTGTTTCAGCCTCACAGCAACATGAGGAGTGTAGTCTGATGAAGGACAGGTGAGGACAGGCAGCCCAGAGCAGATGGCACCTCACCCCCGGCCCTGTGGATTGCGGGGGCACCCCCCTCTGCTCCCCGTGCTGACACAAAGCTGGTCTGCGGCAGGAGCTCAGTAGAACCTGTCTAACGAGGCCGTGTGCTGAGACAGCACCTAGAAAACCTGCCCGGCACCCAGTCTCCGCCAGAGCATTCCTACCAAGCCCTGCCAAGGACCTGGACCTGGCATCTCTAATCCACGGTCAGCAGTTACCAAATGAAGACACAGGATGCCCAGCGCCATGTGAACTTCAGACAAACAGCAAATGCATTTCCAGCCGAAGTATTCCCCCAGAGAGAACCTGCCATGCCGCACGGGGACACCACCCTGGAAACTGTCGGTTGTTCATCTGAAATTCAAACCTCACCAGGCACCCCCATCTCTGAGCACCAGGAAACTGTTGCCAGCAGGAGCCCCTTGGGGCCAGCCAAAGTCACCCCCCGATGAGTGCATCTTTGAAGACCTTCCCCAGAGGATGGCAGCACTCGAATGGCCATGGGTCACTAGCATCACTGCCAGCAGGGTCCCTGGCCAGGCTGGAATCCCACATCACCTGGAGAGGCAACTGTGGATGAGGAAGACACCGGGCCCAGAAAGGCGAGGGCCCTCCCAAGCCAAAGCCACTGGGCTCTGCAGGCCGGGTTGTGTTCTCCGGTGTCTGTCACGGTGTGGATGGGAGGTGTGCCCCAGATGCTCCTGTGAGACAGTGCAAGAGCGTGTCATGAAGTAACGAGGTGTGTCCTAATCAGAGACCACAGGGGACAGGGCACGGCTAGAGGAAGTATGTCACTGGGAGTGTGCCTTTGGGGTTGATGTTTTGTCACTGGTGAGCAGAGCTYTGCTTCCTGCTTGCCAAGGGCTGAGCCGCTTTCCTCTGCCATGATGTTCCTCCTCATCTCGGACTTAGAGTGGAGTCGGCCGACAATGAACTGAACCACTGAAACCAGGAGCCAGAACCCTTTTCCTCCTCTGTTGTCCTCGTCAGGTCTTTTGGTCACAGCGCGAGGGCTGACTGAACAGTCCCCGAGCCCCCACCAGTCATTAAGCGGTTACACACCCTTCCTCAGGAAGGTGGCTACTGCACCAGGTCAGAGCTGAACGGAGTCATCAAGTCTCGTCTTTAATCTGCACAAGAAACCCTCGAAGACAGCTTGAGAGGCTGCTGCAGGAAGACGAGCAAGAGCTAATCAGCCCTGGAGGAGCCTGGGAAGATTCCTTTTTTGGAAGGGGAGGCTCAAAGCACTCTGAGTAACAAGAAGAGATCACAGATGGTCTCTCAGTCTTCCCGTGGGGCTTAGCTGAGCCACGGAGGCCTCCACCCTAGAGTCTAATGTGCCCTCAGCACTTGTCTAAAACCTCCTCTCACCCTATAACGACTTGGCAGAGATGGGGGTTGTCCCCTGGAGGAACCCCAAATGCCCAGGCCTCACAGTGCCAGGTCCTGCTGTGAGCACAGCCACCATGGCAGCCGTCTCCACTTGAAAACCAAGCGCCGGTTACCTGAGCTGTTCAAAGGAAGCAACAGGATCTTGACGTCTTCATCTGGGCCCTCTRTGCTGGACCGACCCAGGCTGCCACCTGAGGCTCACGAGGGGGAGGGTCTTGCCCAGGAGCTCAAAGTGATAGCCTCCCTCAACCCGCACAAGAAAGATCTGCAGCTTCCCCTACACCAGGCTTCCGTTCAGATTCCACATCCAGGTTGGCTTTAGCAGAAGCCACCTACCWCCTCTGTGCCCAGGCAGGCAGGGCTGCGTGACCTCCAGCCTCTGTCCTGGATGCCGTTTCCCTGTGGTCTCCTCCTAATCTCCACCTGAGTCTCTGCACATAACTGGGTAGAAGGTGACCTGACGGTCATGGAAGACCTCAAAATGAGTCATAGAACTATGGTTTCCTGGGGCTATGATTTTTTTTTAAATGAAAATCTTTAAAGACATCAAGAAGTAAGGGAGGCAGATGGGAATAGGAAGGACAGTAGGACGAATCAGACATAACTCTCCTCTGTTCATATATGAAGAGGTGTATCCTAACCAGTAGATTGACCCACTTACATGGATTACCAACCAGTAGATTGACCCACTTACATAGATTAACTGGGTGGTAACTATAGAGGGTAGGGCATGGCTAGAGGAAGTGTGTCACTGGGAGTGTGCAAGGATGTGTAACTCCACATCATGTACTAGAATGGGACCCTAACTAGAGTAAGTCATACTCCGCATGTTTATAATATGCCAAAATATACTCTACCATCATGTATAGCTAAAAAGAACATGTATAGCTAAAAAGAATTTTTAAAAATACACATGGGATAGAATAAAAAGAATTTGCTGTTTTGACATCTTKAACGAATCCCTGTAGCGCTTCGTCTAATGGTCTCTGCCCTTCTCCCCATCTGCTTCATCCTCTTTGCTAGAGTGTTTTAAAGTAGATCGCAGCCATCATGCCTGAGTGTGGGTTTCTAAACACTTAAGAACATTTTCCTATTTAACCACAACACCATTATCACCTCTAATAAAATCACTGCTAATTGGTTAATGCCATCTAATAGCTAGTTGTATTTAGGAGCATTTGGGTTTCCAGAGCTGCAGAGCCTCCTGCCTTTCTGCTTGGAATCGATTCCCTCTTGGGGAGGTTCGAGTTCTGGCCTGGCAAGGACAGTCCCGCCATTTTCTCCACAGGCGCTAAAGGGGGTTCACAGACAGTGTGGCCCACGTCTATGTTTTGTATAAACTGAGCAATGTTTAAAAACAATAATCAGGAGACTTCTGTAAAAAATCCAGGTTCTTGGCTTCCCTATAAAAAGGATCAGTCCTGCTGGTGGGCAAGAGCTGGTCAGCAAGGACGCTCAGGAGCTGGAAGCACAGTGCCACCGTCCTGCGCAGCCTCCACGAGCCTGCGAGTTTGCAGCCCCTACTTTACCCCACATGAGTGGCTGCRGCCTGGCAAAGCTGCTGCAGGGGCCACGATGTGCAGGATCCACATGACTGRGTCACATTCCCTGAGGCTGCGCGGTGCCACCTACCGGCTCTGAGCCCTGGTGTGTGAAATGGGAAGAAGGGAGTGCCCTTCACAGGTGAGGGCCTGGGGGCCAGCATGGCCTGCTAGGCTCCTGTCCCTCAAGGCATAGGATGTGGAGGGGGCGCTGGGGGACCAGGACCCACAGGTGCTGGGGAGGCACATCGGCAGGCGGGATAAGCAAGGGTTTCACTCAGAAGATGCTGCTGCCCCAGCTGCCTGGAGGAGCAGCAGCCAGGTCCATCAGGTGGTCCACAAGGGCACCCTGGGGAGGGGCGGGCACGCCCAGAATGGGAAATGCAGGAGGGAGCCTGACACAGCTGCAGAACAGAGGCCTGCGAGGAAACACTAGTCAAAGGACAAGTAGATGTGGGGGATGGAGAGGCAAGGCAGGCCGCCTGCTGCCGAGGTCCAGAGGAGGGAGGACGAAGGCCCCAGTGGAGGAGTGGGACGGAGAAGGAAGGTGGCTTCTGCAGCCATCTGGGCAGGGAGGCAGAGGACCATGTCACAAGTAAAACCGTCCTGCAGAGACCTGTCTGTCACATGGGGCACACAAGAGCTCATTGTACTCACAGGGGCTTGGGGTCATCTGAGTTTTTTGGTTGTGCTCCTGGGGCAGCAGCCCCAACACAGAGTGGAAGGGATGGACGGATGCCAGCCAGGTCCCTCTGGGCCGTCTAATGAGTCCTTGTTGCCTGTGGCCCCACTGCCATGGGGTGTGGTGGCCTGATAGCAGTAGAATTGTCAGTACCCACTTTTTTTTTTTTTTTTTTAAAAAAAAAGCATTCTAGACTATTTTAATGGGAACTTTTTCTCTCCAGAAAAGGTATTTTGAGCCTCAAGAAAATAAAGACACCATCAAATTAAGAATAACTGTTCTAATGAAATTCATCTGGAAAAATAAGAGACCCAGAATAGCTAAAGCAATCCTTAGCAGGAAGAGTGAGGCAGGTGGTGTCGCTATATCAGACCTT